GAACTCCTTTGTCTTCCTCTACCACTCGGCCATGGCGCGGTTGGCCGCCGTCACGAACTTGTCCTTCGGTAGTGGTGCCAGGCAATCCATAAAGACAAGTTTCTTCGGCTGGTCCCGCTATCCCAATGTCAGCACCAAGGGGTCAGGAGTTCAATTAAAAAAAGGGGCATGAGGAAAGAGAACTTACGAAGTCAATGTACCCTGATTCCGGCCACATTGGGGGATGCCCTGGCACTGGGTATACAAAATCAAGAGCGGCGCCAGCACTGTCCTTAAAGGGCTCCATCGCCTCCTTGATGCGCTGTGCCACTTTAGAGGGGGGAAGCACTTCCTCGGCAAGCGCCATCCCTACGAGCGATGCTCCAGGCACCATTAGATGCAGGGGAAGCGTGCGTGCCATCAGCGGTGCCACCCTCCTCATGTGGTAGGCGTCGATGATCCCCGACCCCTTCACACCCCTCTCCTTTAGAATTTGGAGGGCGGCGAGATGGTCCTTGATCTTCTTCTTATCCTTGTCCAGGACACCCCACTTCCACGACTCCGGGACCTCTTCGATGATGCGCCTGGAGAACGTTGGCAAGGAGGTGGCAACGTCGTCCTTGACGTAAAACCAATGCGAATGCCACCCCTTGTTGAAGGTCGACAGACGCATCGATGAATATTCGTTCACCCGATTGTTGCGGAGATGAATGCCGGCACATCCCACCGGCATGCTTAGCTCTTGCTTCCCGACCCGCTTCTTTAGAAGGTTGACGGCGAAGAGATACCGCCATAGGTCGAAGTGGGGACTAATCCCCAAAAACCCCTCACACAGGGCGATGAACGCTGCAATGTGCTGGACCCCATTGGGAGTAAGGTGCTGCAACTCCACCTTGTAGTAATCCAGCAGCCCCAAAGGAACTTGTGGGTGTGGGTGGCGAATGCCCGCTCGTGAAAGCGAGCGAAGGACACCACGTAGCCTTCGAGTGGCGATGGCTCGTCCTCATCACTGGGCAGCCGCCACTCCTCGGTAGCGGTCAGCGGGCAAAGGAGGCATTGAGCGGTCATCAATTGAATGATTGGGAGGGGGATGGACGCGAGCTTGATTGCGGCTGCGATGCGGGTGCAGGAGGCTCAGGCGATTGGTGGTGGAGGTTGTAGATGTAAAGGCGAGGGGGCAAAGTACGGAACCCTGGGGGCGGACCCCTTGGTTTTATAGGGGCGATGGATGCAAGAAGGGCAACCGTCCTCCTAGATCTCCATGCCTACCGCGATACACTACCACGTCACACCGTGGGATATGCGCCCGCAATCCCTATCGTTTCCCACCCAAGTTGCGTCGGACATTTCACCTTCCCGGGCAGACTAGGACTCTTTTCCCGCAGAAGGGATATGGGTCGAGAAGCATTTCTCCGGCCCGCCTAGGCCTAGGAGCTCGAGGGCTGGCCTAATAGTTTCGGCGACTGTCCCAACGAGGGATGAGCCCACGAGCAGCCAAAACTCGGGCGCACGAGCCTCAAGGGAGTCTCGATCTGCGATCGAGCCTCAACCAAGCTAAACCTGGATGAATCCCCACGAACGGGATACCAGGGTTCCCTTTAAGCTATCCAGTTATCGAAACACCAAATTTCGCAGCCATACCCGCGAAGGGCCCAAATTACCCCCCGGGCGATTCTATCCGAATCACCCGGGGGCTCAGGGCGTACACCCATCGAGTGTGCCCACGCGCATGCTCTGGCAAGTCAAATCATCCCCGGGCGATTCTATCCGAATCACCCAGGGATTTGGGGGCTACTGTCGGGGACCGATTACTGGGGTACCCAAAGAGGTGGAACTAATAACCATCAAACGCTGATGCTTCCGAACAGGCGGGAACGCAACTACACTCCTTGTCCATACAACCGAATGTTGGCTACGCCTTGCCCTGCCCCGAAGGCTTGGCTCTGCCTCGCTCGACCCTCGAGGGCTAGACTCCGCCTCGCCCAACCCCCGAGGGCTGGACTCCACCTCGCCCGATGACTGAGGGCAGGCTCTGCCTCGCCCAATGGTTGAGGGCGGGCTCCACCTCGCTCGACCCCCGAGGGCTAGGCTCCGCCTTACCCTACGACTGAGGGCAGCCTCCTCTCTCTCGAGCCCCAAGGGCTGGACTCCGCCTCGCTCGACGACTAAGGGCAGGCTCTGCCTTGCCCGACGGCTGAGGGCGGGCTCTGCCTCGCCCGACCCCCGAGGGCTGGGCTCTACCTCGCCCGACAACTGAGGGCAGGCTCCATCTCGCCCGATGTCTGAGGACAGGCTCCGCCTCGCCCGACGTCCGAGGGCTGGCTCTGCCTCGCCCGATGGCTGAGGGCTAGCTCTGCCTCGCTCGAAGTCTGAGGGAAAGCTTCACCTCGCCCAACGTCTACACCCTGCCCCTTCATAATGACGAAGCACAGGGTAAGACAGGACACTCAGGTCAACCATAGTACCGAGGACCATGCCCTGCGCACCTGCGAGAAGGTACCATCGAGATACGATGGGACGGGCGCTTGAAGCCCTCCCAGGCATGACAGAGCCCGAATAGTGTTGTAGGCGCCGACTTTTGTCCTACAGTGTTGTGGGCGCCGCCATCAGCCCTTGGGCGCAGATCCTAACATAGGCATACTACAACCACTATAGTCTAGGAGGGAACTCACATCATCAATAGTAACGAACACATGGTCACTTCCTTGTCCCCTCCCTGTAGGGTCACAGCTCGGTTCCCTGACGTGCTGCATCGTCCGCCAGAGCAGGATGGGACGTAACCACTTGCTGAAATGAAGTCAGGGCATGGCCATGTCAGGATCAGCGAACGTGCTATCCCTGGCATGGTCTGCCATTTTTATTAGGGCAGGCTCAAGGGAAAAGGAAGACCCGGTGCCTTCGAAGGACCGTCTCTACCTTTGGTTTTTTCCTCTTTCTCCCATCTATAACCCTTGCCTCCCCTTGGTCTATAAAAGGGAGGGCAGGACACCCCACTTGGGGGACAGATCGATTTTTATACACAACACATCACACTACACATAGCCAAGCAGCAACAGAGCTCTTAGCATCCTTTCAACCCTTCCATCAGAGACTTAGGACCTGTCCCTCTCTCGACCATCTGTACCCCCTACTACAAACATTTTTCGGTGCTAATAACACGAGCAGCAGTAGACTGGACGTAGGGACATTCTGCCCGAACCAGTATAAACCTTGTGTCCTTTAGCACACCATCCGGACCTAACGCGCAACAAATATAAATTTACTAGTTGGTGTTTATTCGAAACACCGACAATTGTACTCTTGGGTTATTATATATTTTGTATGTAATGTGAGCAGTGTTATCCTAAACGCTAAACGGTAAACAGTCGGTCACCTACCGTTTAGCCCATTATTCGGGCAAAACGGGTGTTTAAACAGGAAAAACGACCGTTTAAACAGTCAAAACAACTGATTAAACGGAAACGATGTACCACCGTGTAGCGTTTAAACGGTGTGTAAACGAGCTAAATGGCCGTTTAGGCGAACAGTGAATGTGAGGAAGTTCTAAAACCTGCTAATTATCTACATATGTAATTTCTGTTCGGACAATGCATGTGTTTATCAAGGTGTCATGTGTTTTGTACATGTGTTGCAGCTATTGTGCATGTTTGAAGGGTAACCTCACCAGTTTGGGTAGGTGGTGACTGAATCTCCCTTGTCCATCCTTGTCCATCCAACCAAACAAAAAAATAGCTCGCCCCGTCCAACACATATTTATCGAACCAAACAGAAAAATAGTTCGTCCCATCCGCTTAACCAAACAGATAATATGGATACCCTTATCCCGATATCCATGGATATCTATGTCCAATCCACCTTGTCCTCAAACCAACCACACCCTTAGTGGATCATCCTTGGGCTAGAGGATCAAGACACGGAGACCTCAAATCCTGGCCCATGATTAGCTCATCATTGTTCCTTGTACTAACGAGCCTGTTCTATCATGTGTGCAATTAAGCCCATGTCAAGTCCATATAAACACAACTTGTGTTACGCAAGTGTCCAATTTATGTCATATTTCTTATAAACATGAGTATGCATAGAAATACAAAAGCATATTTGAAAACAAGGTCAATATCAGCCAGCAAGTGGCACATATATGATCCAAATATGTATGAAAGTATCACTAAAAATGCAATAAAATATGTCCATAAACCACAATACGTGTGCAGGGAGGATTAAATTGGCAACAAATGGTGGAATAACCGTGACCACCATCAACGGTGGTGGATCTAGGTCCTCCATAGCCGGATTTGATGCCTCCGCACCAAACCTAACTTGCTTAGCTCCTTGAAATCCATCTCTCCCTCGAGGGCATGGTAGCCCAGATGTCCTTGGCTGTTGACTGTCATTGCCTCAGCTTCGACATATCTTCACCTATGGGCTATGGCCGTCCAGCCATGGTCTCCAACTCTAAGGCTTTGTCGTGCCATCGGGCTTCATAGGCTTGCTAGGCTGACACACATGACACATGTAAGGCTCTACCTTGCCATGTGCAGGAATGAGATAGCCTGATAACTTAACCGTGTCTTGTCGGGCTCAATCAAGCCCTACAGTTCTATAGAGATAAATATTTGCTACTGAAGCAACCTAATAACTTTTTGATAGCTAACTGGCTATGTTTGGATGCTTCGATTGATATTTCGATGCATCAAGTGGAATATGTATGACTATTGGATTAAATAGAAGAGGCAACCTTTACAGGTTAAAGTTAATAAATGTGGATGGAAATACAAGTGAAGTCCACTCACAAAAAACTCAAGACAATGTTTCCCATAATTTATTTCTATATGTAGGACATGCATACATAGTTCATGTTCCCACCGTATCATTTATTAGAGCACTTGGTACAATCGATAAACGATCAGCTTGTATTTTATTTGGTTTCTTTAGTTCTACCACTTGAGGTGGTAGATATGTTATTAAGATCTTCATCATTCTGTATCTCTAGTGCAGGGCTAATTGCAAGAACATGGTTGTCTTCAGGAAACTGAGTCTTCTTCGACTAATTTGTGCAATGTAGACTTAGAAACCACCATATCCTTAGTAGAATGGATGTTGCTACCACTTGTACAATCATAATTCTCAGGGCATTTCGGCACAACAATATTTTGATGATCACCATCGACAACTTTTCCATGGTCCACTAGAGGAGTCACTGTGGTTGGTGTGGCAGTTTTGGTACTTTCATAGCTTGCTGCAAGAAATTGTGTTTCCTGAAAAAGGAAATTGAACATTTTGTGTTAAATGAGTTATGATAATGGAGAAAAATGGACTTTCCTAAGTTCTCTTACGAACCTGTAGTAGTTGGGACGTTTTGCTGGATGTGGATTCCTGATCATGATTTGTCTCATGCCTTTGGAGAACACCATTGAGGAAAATATAAGGCTTGGTAGAATTAATGGCCTCTGTGATATCTGATTCAAGTATGGTGAAGCGGCCATGGGATGAGGCACACATCCAAGCACGGATTGCCAGTTCTTGGATAAATAGCTCACATAGCTTGGTCACAAATGGTGGAGTATCCGATGATGTCATGACAGTACCAAGATTGGCTCTAATGATTTCTTCAATATTGGCCATGGGTAAATTGTGACAGTTGAAGTTCATTAAGTTCTCAATGTCCTCTTGTCTTCTCCTCCAAAACTCATCAATTGCTTGTTCTTGTGGTGTCATCAAAGGTGTTGATGGTGATCCATGCAACTCCTGTGCATGCTCACTTCTTTCTTCTGATCCATTTGACATTGCTAAGGATCTATATGTTCAAATTGATTCCATGCACATATAGTGAATTAGGTACTATCTAATTTGTAATATAATGCTACAAATTGACATAATCAATAACATGCAGACCTTTTGTAAAAACTATACAAAATTAGATGAACACAATGAAGGAGTTATTACTTCGTAAATAAAGAAAACAATCCTCAAAACAAATCATGCCATCACCCTCTCCATTAGTGAATTAACTTACGAAACAACAAGATAGACTTATTACCTTACTCAAGCTTCTATGAACTTCAACTTGAAATTGTTGATAAAACAACTGATGATTAATATGAGAGGAATAGTGGCCTTGGTGGTTTATATAGAGGATTTCAAGGCGACTTTAAGGTAATGGACAAATGTACACATTTCAGAACGAATCAGAGAAAAGGTTGGTGGTCCCTAATGGATTTCTTTTGGGTTTGTTAATGGCCTGTCATAATTCTAACAACCTTGGAGTGTCTTAAACGCCATCGTGCATTTATGTGCGTGGCACATAAAATAACTTATAAATCTCTAATAAAGTTTTTTTAGATATATCTTCTAGCTCATCTTTATCTAGCCACAGCTACTTGCAAGCTTTTCACCAGACAAAGAGACTTTTGGACATCATGTGTATTTAACCAATGGTTCATGATAAACTAAAAACTAAACAACATCAGAAGAAAGCATGCACTGTTATGTGTTTGGGATCATGTCGTATTGTCAAGTATTTCACTTAGGCACCCTCAAACTTTTCATTTAGGAAAATAATATAATACTTGATGTCCTCCAACCTTTTCATGTCTAGATCAACTTCAATTTGTTGTTGTTATGAAAAATATTGGTATGAGGTGTAAGGATTAATAAATTGATTACTTGTTGCTATAACATACATTGATATGAGGTGTAAAAAGTAATAAAGTTAATTCCTAATAGTATGATAGCAACATCATATTTATTTATCCCATTCTATAGATCATGCTATGATGTGTCATCTAGTCGTACCCACTCAAATATTTGCATATTCTTTAACTTTCATGGATGAATGCTAAAGTTATATGATTAGCTTAATATTATTTTGGAGTTTATGGACAACTATTGAGTGCATTCCTCAGTATTGTTGTCCTTAGCACACTAAAGGGACCCCAATTCACCCCATGGAGAACTACAAATAATCCATCCTATTGGTGTTTCTTATGCTTTTAGAATATTTTCAATTATCCACAAGCGCAAAGAAAACCATTATAGTGTCCCAGTTTGGAGTATTCTAGAGTATCATATTTTTCTTCAATGAGGCACTATTCATTAATTGTAACACCTAAAAATTTGCATTCTTTTAAAATAGTAAATTGGAGTTATTAATGTTATTACGTGTGCAATCAAATATAGGAAATTAATAAATTTTGTGAAATTAAAATCAAATATAAGGTTAGTAACCTCTTGATGCATTCATGCTGCTGCATTTAATTTATTGTGATGTCTGGTTTTGACCCAAATGCCAAAATGATTCAAAAACCCTTTGAAAACTAATTTGGAAAATTTATTTGGAAAAATAAAAAGATTTTCTTCTTTCTTCCCCTCCCTTCCTCAATTCTGGCCTGCTGGCCCAACTTCCTCCGCGCCGGCCCAGCCTCGCGTGGCCCAGCAAACTGCCGGCCCGCTCGCCCCCTCCCCCTGCTTTCCTTCCTGGGCCGGACCAGCACCGTTGGCAACTGTCGCTGCCACGCCCCTCCCTCCTGCTCTGCCGCTGACAGCCCGGGCCTGCTTGCCAGCGCCATCCCCAACCTCCCGCGCGCGCCGCGCTCGGTCAAGTGCAACCGCCGCTATGCCCACTCGCGTCGTGGGAGCGTGTCCCCACGCCCGGCCTCTACAAAAGGGAGCTGAACACGTAGCCGCCCTCCTTGCTGCCTCCCCGCTCTAGTTTCGCATTCGCCCGTGCACAGAAGCCGCAACCGCAGCGCCGAGATCCACCGTCCACCCTCCGCGTGGTCCGCCATTCCCGAGCCGCGTTTGTCTCCGATTTTCGCCATGGTGAGATTCGCTGTGCTCTCCTCTCTCTCCCCGACCTTTTACCTAGGCAAATGGTGGCTTGTATGGCCGTTTTCGAGTGCGCCATGGAGTTCCTTGCCGCCGGCCATGGCTGTCGACGAAATATGGTCGGTAGTCCATCTAGGGGTATGCCCATGATGGTAGATTGTCGGTAGACGGTACATGTAATCAGGAACCAGATGGTGACACAAGGCGCAGAGACAGCGATTTAGACAGGTTCGGGCCGTCTGGTCGACGTAATACCCTACGTCCTGTGTCTTTGGTGTATTGTATTGAGATGTATACCGATTAACCTCCTTGGGTCTGTCCTCTAGGGGACCCTTGCCCCTCCTTATATACTCCGAAGGGACAAGGTTACAAGTAAAGTATCCTATTTGGTACTATTACAATGTCTTACGGTGCACGCCAAGCAGCGCCGGGCACGCCTTGATCTCACGGGCCGGGCCACCTCGGATGGTGCGGCCCATGTACCATCTTGTGGTACCCGGGGGTATATCCCCCACAGCTAGTCCCCGAGCACCATGTATTCTGATGCGACACGCCGTTTCAACCTTCTCCGAACAGTGAGGCTTGAGTTCTTGACATCTCCGACCACCGTTGTCGCCGGAGAAGTAGGTTGTCCGAAGAATGTATGGTGCTCTTAAGAAGAAAGAAAAATATTTCCGTCCTGTGAAGTGTGCCCACTTGTATTTCTGAAAAGAAATGTAAGTGCGTCTTGAAGCGTAGCGTCCTCGATCATCAGAGGCGTAGGGGTCGAAAAACAAACACATTCACCGCAAGGTGAAGTGTGCCCACTTAGTCCCCGAGCCTGGTAGTAGGTGACGTAGGCACGTGGTGCCAGGGTCTAAAAAGAATTCCCAGTTAAGTTGAGAATCCAATCGTCGTACAAGCGATACGAGATGCACCGGCAGGTGCATCGTACCGATGTAGTCCCCGAGCTTGCTGGAAGGCGAGGTATGAGCCTTGTAGCAAGGTCTAAGTGAGAAAAAATACTCCAACCGTATGCGAGTCGCCAGTCGCATGTAGTCGAGACGCAAAGTCCCCGAGCCGTGGTCGGAGAGTGGTCGAGGAAGTCCCCGAGCATGTGTCGAGGAGCGAAGCGACGAAGTCCCCCCGAGCCGTGGTCGGAGAGTGGTCGAGGCAGTCACCGAGCACAGGTCGAGGAGCGAGCGACGAAGTCCCCGAGCCGTGGTCGGAGAGTGGTCGAGGCAGTCCCCGAGCACAGGTCGAGGAGCGAGCGATGAAGTCCCCGAGCACGGAGTGGTCTGGTGAGTCCCCGAGCATGAGCGTGGTCTGGCCAGAGTCCCCGAGAATGAGTGTGGTCTGGCAAGAGTCCCCGAGCACGAGCGTGGTCTGGCCAGAGTCCTCGAGCACCGTAGTGGTCTTGGCGAATCCTGAAGCATGAGCTCGCTGACCAAACTGTGTTCCTGAAAAATAAACACAGAGAGCGGTAGTACATGATGATGATGTACGAAATATATTGACCTCTCCGTAGGAGGTGAAGTAAACACTTGGTGTTCGGTTGGCGATGAATTATACTTGGTGTAATATTCGAAAAATAACATTAGCTGTTTTAGCCCTTTTGTTATGTAGTGGCGTAAGCGCGATGTATTAACTCGTCTGAAGAATGCGCCACCTCTCTGACCAACATCTCGTAGCGCGAGGTACGGAACTGCCGCAAGGCCGAAAGTGCCAAGCAGTTACCGGGGAGCGATCGCCGACTACCCGTGGCGCAGAGGGCGGACTCTCATGCATCGCGTGGGGTGGAGCCGAGACAAAGGCTCACTCGGATTCTCAAGCAGAAGGAAAACGACGACGAACCATTGTAAAAACTTATATATGTTTTGGATTGTATGTATGGAGAAAATTCAACGCGGAGCGCACCCTTAGGGTGGTCGGCAGAGGTGTACGATGATCGAAGAAATTTTCAATTAAAAATAATACTTAGCTTTATTGACGGCCGGTGGGTGTAGTCGACGTGTTGCGATGTTCGAGAGATGGCTTGACGGTCGCTGGCGATGAAGTTGTCCGGTCCTCGAGCTTTTCGACTGTCGTCATGACTGTGGTCGCGATTGTCGTAGCGCCGTTCTTCACGGCGATCATCATTGCGACGTAGTCCGGTGGTCGAGGTGGTCGAGTTTCGGCGCCGCCGCCGGATGTGGTCGACGTGGTCCGTGGTCGATGTGGTCAGAGCTCGGCGGAGCCGCCCGAGACGTGGTCGACGTGGTCCGTGGTCGACGTGGTCGGAGCTCGGCGGAGCTGCTCAGGACGTGGTCGACGTGGTCTATGGTCGACGTGGCTGCTCGATCAGTTCGGTGGTTGGAGGGCTTTGTCGTCACAAGACGCGCAGCGACGCTAAGTCTCATCGTAGTCAACGGAGGCCGCCGCGATCTGCCGGCCGTGCTGAAGACAAATCATCGATCCTAGTGATGACCTTGACGGAGTCGAGGGAATTGGGGCTGAGCAGCAGCAGTGCCTCATGCACACATGTAGAAACTTGTGCACATCCCGGTAGCCTCTTGATCGAGTAGTCATTGGATGAAAACAAAGAAGCTCAGACGTGATGCATATACACGTATATGCATGATTAGCTTGCATGCCTTTCTTGCTAGCTTGTTTGTCATAGCGCATGTACACGATCGTATATGGTGCCGATGTCGCATTACTTCGGTCCGATAACACAAAGAATCAGCAACCTTTGTAGATTGATTTTCTCTTGATCCAAAACGAACTCGAAGAAGGAAATCGACTCCGCTTCGAGGCAGCAGCAACGATCGAGCGGCAGCGTCCGCAACTCGGTGATAATTATTGCGTCTAGATGCGTGAGTCAGACCATGCTGAACTGATCAATCCCCACGTGCGCAATCGGGCGATGAGTCAAGCTCCGACTTGTAGATGGATTTGATGACGGTTGCCGCGCACGATGTTGAACGCCGCCGCCGATTTGT